GATTCAGCAGATCACTTTGATCACCTCGCGCGGCAGAGGCAAGGCCCTGGTTCCAGGCCCTGCAAACTCTCACGGCGACTCAGGCATGCGCAACCAACACACATTTTCAGATAGATAGGATCGCAAAAATGGCTTCAGCGTAGCCAACATGTGGCCTAGATGTCCATGCTGTTCACAAAGACGATGCGTGGTCTTGATTAAAGTAAACTTCTCCACGATGGAGTCACGACGTCGTCGACAACCACCGATGGCCTCGGTCATGACATTGTTGATCAACATGAGGTCTGTTGTCGGGGTAAACGCGACGCAGAGGCAATGATCACCACAACGATCGCAGCGCATGACGTTGCTGGCCGGGTTTCCATGAGCTCTTCGCGTGGCTTTGAGGCGTCCATGTTGACGTCTGCTGGGGTCTGTAGCAACAAAGCTGCCGTAGCTGGCGGCCGGCTGGCACTTCCCGGGTACCACCTGGCAAGGGCTCAGAGGACCCCCAATCACGGACGAGGGTTGCAGCGCTCCGAAAGTGGGCCATGTCAACGTTGACCTGGCAACGGCAATTACGCGAAGATCCATATCAACAAAACCCTCGCCCGCTCTTCCCTGAACGGGGAGCTTCCCAATCAACATCACAGCATCATGAAATAACCGCCAGCATCCTCTTTCCAACCTACGCTTTACTAACCAACCAGCCATACGACAACCTTCTGCACCATCTTTGCTTTTTCCACCCAACTTTCCGCACAAGATGGAGCCCCAATCACCCCCCAAGCGCATCACGCGTTCCAGAGCCGCAAAGACGGGCGAGAGCTCAACAACCACGAGAGCCACCAAGATCGTGACCGCAGCTGCCAAGGCAAAGTCGACTGCCACCGCCCCGACGCGCTCTACCTCGGCCAAGAGGAAGACCCGATCAGACGACCACGAAGATGAAGAACACAACGAGCAAACACAAGAGTCAGAACCCGCCGTGCGTGCTACCAGAGCTACGCGAGGCCGCCCCAAGAAGACCGTAGAGGAGCCCGCAGCACCAGCTGCCCGAGAGCCCTCAACATCAAGTACGGCGCCCGGCAGAGCCACCCGTGCGCGAGCCACTGCACGCAAGGTCTCTGCCGCCGAGCCGCCAGCTCCCAAGGAAGAGGCGCCCAAGCCCACTCGTGGCCGGCCCAGGAAGGTGGTCCAGCCTGCAGAGGAAGCCCCTGAGAAGGAGGCAGAGCCAGTAAAGAAGACGACGCGCACCCGCGCAGCACCGGTCACAGCAGCAAAGCCCGCCGTCAAGAAGACGGTAACATTCCAAGAACCCGAAAAGGAAAACATCGCTCCTGACGCAAGCAAGAAGACGGCCGACAAGTCCACAACTGCCACTGGCCTCCGGGCCAGACCGGTGCGAAAGCCTCCTGTTCCCAAAGCCCCGACGAGAACCACCCGCAACGCTGCTGCTACCACCACGAAGACGGAGAAGACGCCGCTCAGCCCTAAGAAGGTCACGCAGATTCCCATGTCTCAGGACTACTCCGAAGACGAGCTGGCTGGAGAGAACACGCCCCCGAGACCGATGATGAAGAGCCCTACCAAGCCTCCGGCAAGCGTCCTTGGCTCCTCCAAGAAGCTCAACTTGAAGCCTGTCGAGAAGTCGGCGGATTCCAAGGAGGACCAAGACGGCGAGGGCGCCGATTCAGAAGCCCAAGAAGACGAGGTTACCAACGTGCTGGCCTCGCCTGCCAAGAGACTGCCTCCTTCTCCTTTCCGGGATACGATGAAGTCCCCGGCTAAGCGCGTTGAGGGTGTTTCGTTGAAGCCCGCGTCCGTGTCCACCGCTGAGGGCGTCGCTCCCACCCCTCTCAAGGCTTCGTTGCTTCACTCTCCCGCCAAGCGACCGCAGTCAGCCATCAAGCCGTTCGCTTTGCCGACTACGGGTCACGAGGAGAAGAAACTCTCCAACTTCAAGGCTTCCCTCCTTCAGTCGCCTGCTAAGCGACCTTTGTCTCCAATCAAGGGTCTGGCCAAGCCTCAAGAGGCTGTTGAGGAGATGCAGTCTCCCGCCACAAAGTCTCTGCTCCTCTCTACCCCGACTGCTCTGCCCCCTGCTAAGAGATCTTCTGAGAAGTTGATGGAGGAAGAGACTGGCCACAGCGATGACGAGGAGGAGCAACTTGACGAGGTTGCCGAGGCCATGCTCAATGAGTCCATTCACTTGGAGGAGCCTATGCAGTTCCCTGGCCGTCTGTCTGCTGTTCTTCCCAGACACGCCGACCCCGTCTTCAAGAAGGACATGCCCGCTCTTGAGGCACCTGAGGAGGATCTGGCCCAGGCCGAGGAAGTCGACGTTGTCCAGTCTGAGGAGGCTCCCGAGGAGGAAGACGACTTCGCCGCTGACGACATGCCGGAGTTCGATGGAGAGCCCATGATGCTCGACGAGGACTACTTCCAGCCTCAGGCTCAGAACACCCTGGCCTCTCAGCCCGCGTTCAACGTGCCCACTGGTATCTTTGGCCTTCGCCAGAAGGACATGGACCCTTACCATAGCATGGACTCGGACTCAGACGACGAGCTCGCCAACAGTCCTCGTGTCTCCGCAGTCGAGAAGTTTGTTCCTCTTACCCCCACTCCCAAGGCTGCTCGCCGAAGCAACGTTATGCCGAGAGTCTCCAACGTTGGTTTCACTCCTCTGGCCCAGAAGCTGAACGCTTGGTCCGCTGGAAGCCCTACCAAGGGCTCCAAGACGCCCGTTGCCAAGACTCCCCAGGCTTCGGCGGACTCTGCTTCCGTCTCTGGCACTCCCCGTGCGTACGACTCTCCCCTCAGAAGCACCTACTTCGAGGATGAGATGACTGTTCGTGCCGACATGGAGGCGCAGAACGAGATTGAGGCAGCCATTGAGGCTGAGATCTCTGCAGCCAGCGAGGAGATCGAGTTCGACGATCTCATGGTCACCGACGAGGACATGGCTCTCGCTGCCGAGGCGAATGAGATGTCTCTGATGGAGCCGGGGCAGCTGGACGACATCGTCAACACTTCCAACAGCTTCGACGACACCCTTTCTGAGGCGAGCCAGGAGTATGGCGACGAGAACGAGATGCCTGTTGATCCCGCCATGCTGAACGGAGCATCCGTTCCGCCTACCACCCCCAACAGAATGATCAATCGTGAATTCCACACCGTCTCCAAGGTCCCTCTCAAGGCCGCTGATGAGTCGACTCCCCGTCCCAAGAAGAAGCGTGCTGCCAGCATCTCCCGACTTCCGGCCAGCCGCCCGACTCAAAATCTTAACAGGAGCGCCACTGTCATTTCCTACTCGCCCGGCAAGAACAAGTCTGAGCTACAGGAGACAGCTGAGCCCGAGTCGGCGCCTGTGACTCCGGCAAAGTCTGACATCTGGTCCTCGCTTGGAACCCCGGCTCGCACCCCTCATCGCAACCTCAGCCCTGGTCTGCTCCGCGGCGCAGTTGTCTTCGTTGACGTGCACACAACCGAGGGCGCGGATGCGAGCAGCATTTTTGTCGAGCTCCTAACCCAAATGGGAGCTCGTTGCGTCAAGACTTGGGCGTGGAACCCGAACGCGGCCGACAACTCCGACATGTCCAAGGTCGGCATCACCCATGTCGTGTTCAAGGATGGTGGCAAGCGTACCATGGAGAAGATCAGGGAAACCAACGGCATTGTCCACTGTGTTGGTGTGTCCTGGGTGCTTGAGTAAGTTGTTCCTCATGGTTCTGCATTTGATCAATTACTAACGAGACCGCAGCTGTGAGCGTAAGAACGAGTGGCTTCCTGAGGACGAATACTCCATCGACACTTCACTGGTTCCCCGCGGAGGCGCCCGTCGCAGAAAGAGCATGGAGCCCACGGCCCTTGCAAACCAGAACGGCATGCTTGTTCCTTCACCTGTCAAGGGTGGCCGCGACAACAAGACCGCGCCCAACACACCCATGAACCGACGTGACAGCACCGTCTGGATGCACACTCCTTCGGACGAGGCGGACGATGAGGAGGTTGATTGGGAGGGACTCATGTCCCCTGTTCCCGTGACTCCTGCCCCGGATGCTCTCGCCCGCTACGCAGCGAACGTCACCCCCGAGACACCCGGTGCCACTGACTACGACTCGTCTCCCACCAAGCTGCTGATGCAGACATGCCCTCCCAAGAACAACGCTTTCGCCGAGATGGGCGATGGCATTCTCAAGAGGGAGAAGGACGAGACCGTGATGCAGCGCTTGATGGCCGCCCGCAGGAAGAGTCTGCAGTTTGCTCCCAAGATCGGAAGCCCGTTGGCTAAGGCTTGGCGATGAACATTTTGAATTTTTCCGAATGTCTTTTTGGTCATGATACTGACCGCCTGTTGTGCGATGGAACTTGCTTTGAAATATCATAGACGGCGTTTGATGGATATGGATACGGACACGGAGGTATGGGAACGGTGTTCAGGATTGCCGCATTGGCTTGTACATCACAATAAACGCGATCGCAGACGCATCGCCTGTTCAGAACAAACATGTTTGGAATTGTCACCTTCAATGAGCTTGATCCACGTTAGGGAGTCGTCGATTGTCAGACGTGAGAGCTACCCTGGCCCCTGTCCCGAATCTGGCAAGGTGACGCATGTCGGCCGCGCGTTCTTTTGATTGGACCAGCCTTGTCCGGAATCTTGACTCGAGCCATGATTGATAACAGATCCGTGTTCGACACACTTGATACCGCAACTCCGAGCGTCCGTGTGGCGAATATGTGATTTTTCCTCATTGCTCATACTTGCATTCTCGATCAATAGAGCTCATATCAAGATGATATTGAAGGGGATTCTATGGAGCTGTGTGCTGCTGGCGCCATGTGTTGTCGCGGAGCAGCAGAAGCCGCTTGGCGGGGGAACACCGAAACATGAACATCAGCAGCAGGAGTCGTGGAGAAGGGACCTCAATTTCTCATCCCCGGCGCCGCATTTATTCGCGTCGGCGTACGGGCTGCTCCAGCAGTGGAGCAACACCGTGTTTCCCAACGGGCACACGATGGCCGCGGTGGAGATTCCGGCGTTCACGCTGCTGTATCACGGGCGGATGGACGAGGAGGACACGCCGAGCCCGGAGTGGCTTGCTTTTGATATGTGAGTTTACCTGCTTAATTTGACTCTCTGCCTTGTTAGAATCAGGAAGGCATTGAGGAATAGTGAAAATGTTTGGGAATATTGGTGAGACGGAGCTGACATCCGACACAGCGAGATGGCCTACGGGATCATGGGCTCAACCCGCCAGAGCTTCATGCTGAGCTACCAGACGACGCGGCCCGTCAAGGCGCTCTACTTTGACGGGGAGTCGGCGGCGCTGATGGGGCTCGGGCAGCTGGACACGCAGATGCTGCACCTGTACGGCAACGTGACCGGCCCGGATAGCGGTGGCGGGATGTGGAGGGGCCTGGAGCCAGAGTACGAGCGGGCGATGGGGCTGTGCGACTGGCTTGCGGAGCGGGGCCTCGGGGGCGTCGGCGGGTTCGAGGGGGTGGTGAGGATGAATGCTGGGTTTGAGGTGATTTGGTGCGATTTTGGGAGCGGGAGTTTGAGGTTGGTTAGTCGGGGCAATGTGACGGCGCCGCAGATGCGGGAGGTTAAAACGGCGGCGGTGGATAGGGAGGAGGAAGAAGGGGGTGAGGTGAAGGGCAGTGGGAGCGTGCCGACGTCGGTGTACCCGCTCCCGCCGCAGCCTACGCGGACGGATCGGCCTGTCAGCCCGACGAAGCCTGCCGTGCCGCCGAACTGGCGCGGGATTATGGGTCCCTCCGACCGGGAACCGTTCCTGCAGAGCCAGGGATGGGGGTGGTTTTCTTCGGGGACGTGGCATTACGGCGGTAGCGGGATGGGGCCTGGGAGGGGGGAGACGCGGGCGAAGGTTACGGCTTGCGGAATCACGAGCTGGTATTCGGGCAGGTTCTGGGGTCCGCTTGTGGAGGAGGAGGGGAAGAGGTTGAATCTGACGCGGGAGGGGTTCTGGAGCGGGCTGGATGGGGGGAATAGGAGCGTTGCGATGGATGAGCTTGGGAGGAGGAGGAGGCTGCATCATCTCGAGGGCGTGAGTGAGCAAGCGGCGGCGCGGATGAGAGGGGAGACGGAGGCTATGTTGAGGGATGTGCTGGAGGGGGGGAGGTGCAGTGGGATGGTCTGGGTCGATGTGTTTGCAGAGATTGTGCAGAGGAATGCTGGGCATCTGATGGCGCTTGAGAAGGCGGCGAGGTGGGCGGGAGACGAGGGCAATGTCACTGAGGTGAGGGAGTGGTTGTACAAGTTGAGGGGCCAGAGCCATATGTTTATGGTGTCGTTCCTGGAGTACCCGAACAAGATTGACAGGGGAACGTGGGACGTTCAGGGGCCGCTTTTCGGGGAGACGTACTCGAGATGTCGGTACCGGTACACGAGGCTGCTGGTTGATATTCCCATGAGGCCGTGGGAGACGGACCTCAGAGACGCTGTCGAGGAGGTCATGGGCGGAATTTGCGGCGTCTTGCTGAAAGTCGGATTCGAGGTTGAGAGGGCTTGGTACGCGCTGGAGGAGGGTGCTGGCGCGAGGCTGGTGAAGCTGGCAGAGAGATGGGAGGATAGTGTTCGGGGTCTGAGGGCCTGGGTCGGATGGGAGGGAGAATTCATCAGGTGCGACAAGGTTTGCGAGTGGGATGAGCGGTGTTACATCCCAATGTGGCCACTATTGAAGTCGGTCTGGGGCGGCAGACGGCCGAGGCCTCCGCCTAGGGACGGGCCTGGGAATGGAACGGAACCGAGGCCGGGGCCGCCTCCGGGCAAAGGACGCGGGCCGGGATATGGAGGTGGACACAGAGGCCCGGGCTACGGGATGCCGGGGCGAGGGCCCTCTTGGATGGGTGACGAGACTGACTTGTGGGCGCCCAAGTGTGTGAAGATGGACGACATCATGCCCAGGCCGAGGGCAGACTAGACTGTGGTCAGTAGTTCATTCCAGAGAATTTTTGATTTCCTTCGTCGTTTGGTATAGAATCATGGCGTAGGCTGTCAATTGTACGTCTCTCTCGAGAACAAAACAATGAGGTCTGCCAGAAGTTCGACGTCACTGCAGACGAGGCGGCTCTAAACATCTAAATATCCTTCACTTGGTAGCGAGCATGTTTCATTTTATGTAAATTCAAGCTTGACTTTTTGGTCATCTGATCTGGTCCGAGGTTAGCTTGCCGCTGCAAGTGACGAAGCCAAGGTTGACGTACCAAGGTATAACACGAATAATCTTGTGTCTCAATCTAGACTTTCACCTCTATAGCCCTGCCGATATTCCGTCCCAATTCCTCATTTCATGCGCTAATGTACGCCTTCATTGCCTTGACCGCATCGCCGTCGTTGGCCTTCAGCAGCTCTGTCGCCTTGGCCTTGGGGAGTTCCAGCTCGTCAACCTGCAATGAATCTGTTAGCAAAAGTAAATCTTATCTCTTCCCGGGCGTTCCCCCTCGGAAATGCGGTTCTCTGTCTGCTAAAGGTAGATCTGGAGGGCTACTGACCAGCAGCGTCACGTCGGCAGCGTCGACTTTGACGTTCTTGACCTCCTTCTTGGCGGCCGTGGCACCTCCCAGGCCCTTGATGGCCTTCTGCGCAGCCTCGGCGTCGACCTTGTCCTCGGAAGCGTCGTCGCCGCGGGCGTCGAGGCTCGCGAGCGCGGAAGCGGCCTTGCGGTCCTCGGCAGACTTGGCGGGCTGCACCTCCTCCTCGACGTCACCGCCGGTGGCGCCCTCGACAACGGCAGGGGGCTGCTTCTCGGACATGTTCGTGGCTATTCAGGTAATCGTTCGGTCGTCGGGTGTGCGAGGCCGTGAGGTTAGGGGTGGTGTGCAGTCTGATGTAGCTGTGAGGTTCGCAATCGCGGAGGCACGTCCAGCAGCAGCAGCAAGTGCGAAGCTGACCTGAGTGCACAGGGCAGGCAGTTTGGAATTTGTGGTGGGGCAGTTCGAGGTGGGGGATGTGACGGGGGGAGGGGCACCGCAGAGCGGGAAGCTTTGGCGTAGGTGTCGCCCTCACCGACGGTGAGCCATCTGAGAAGGTCCGGTAGGCTTCGGCATAGCGTTGCCCTGGGGAAATCGCAAGGTGGTGCAACTTTAAGCACTAACTTGCTAGGTTCCGCGGGCTGGACGGATGCTCTGGTTCCTGGTTTATTTTTGCATGGCGTAAATTGCCTGCCGCCATTGGCCAATTTGACTTCCGCACCGTTGCATGTTCGATTTTTCTCCCCTGTGCTGCCCATTGAGCCACATTGTTCATGTCCCTGCATTCTGCTGCCCATTGAATAAGACTGACTCACTATGCGGATGGCTCCTGCTCTCAAAAGAGTCATTCCGTCTTTGCATTGAGCTGCTTCACTTCTCTGACAGCTCTACAACTCCTTCCTTCCCCTCAATCGAATCCTCCTTCTATCGTTGAACCTCCTCTTAGCAAACGCCGTCTTCCTCATAGACCCTCACAAACACCGCCATGTCCTCCTCCGCAACCTGGTCGCCTGATTCCTGGCGGTCAAAACCCATCAAACAGTCACCCGCATACCCGGACGAGGCGGCGCTCCAGAAGTCGGTCAAGGAACTCGGCCGCCTACCTCCCATTGTTCACCCCAAGGAAGTCGTCGCCCTGAAGCAGCACCTCCGCGATGTGGCTCTGGGTGAGGCATTCCTGCTGCAGGGCGGCGACTGCGCCGAGCTCTTCGACTACTGTGAGCAAAACACCATCGAGTCGAAGATTAAGCTTCTGCTGCAGATGAGTCTGGTCCTCATTTGGGGTGCCGACAAGCGTGTCGTCCGCATTGGACGCATGGCCGGCCAGTATGCGAAGCCCAGGTCGAGTCCGACTGAGATGGTGGACGGTGTGGAGCTGCCGTCCTTCCGAGGCGATATTCTCAACGGCTTCCACGTCGATGAGCGGACCATTGATCCTCAGAGATTGGTCAAGTGAGTCGCCCTCATTATAAAAGCTTCAATTAACCTAAGCTAACAAAAATAGGGCTTACCAGTACTCATCAGCAACTCTCAACTACATCAGAGCATCTCTCTCATCCGGCATAGCCGATCTCCACAGACCGCTTGACTGGGGCCTGGGTCACGTCCGGGACCCGGAGCTCAAGAGGAAGTACTCGGAAGCCGTCCTCTCCCTGACCGACATGCTCCGCTTCCTCCATACAATCGGCGCCGACAAGAGCGACAAGCTTGACACCGTCGACCTCTTCACCAGCCACGAGGGCTTGCTTCTCGAGTACGAGCAGCCGCTGACCCGCCTGCTGGAGACGCCGGCCCCGCGCCCCACACTCAACGGCGGCGGTGCTGCCGCCGAGACCAAGAAGGAGTACTACGACACCTCGGCGCACTTCCTCTGGATCGGCGACCGCACTCGTCAGATTGACGGCGCGCATGTCGAGTTCTTCAGGGGCATCGCGAACCCCATCGGCATCAAGGTCGGCCCCACCACGCCCACGGACGACTTGCTCGCTCTGCTCCGCACCCTCAACCCGGACAAGGAGCCGGGCAAGATCACCCTCATCACTCGTTATGGTGCCGCCAAGGTGCGCTCTCTTCTGCCGGCGCATATCAGGGCCGTTGAGGACAGCGAGTACCGCCGCTGCGTTGTCTGGCAATGCGACCCCATGCACGGTAACACGGTCTCGACCGGGGGCGGCATCAAGACTCGTCGGTTCCGGGACATTTTTGAGGAGCTGCAGGAGACGCTGCGGATTCACAAGGAGCAGGGCAGCTACCTCGGCGGCGTGCACCTGGAGTTGACAGGCGATGCGGTGACGGAGTGTCTGGGTGGCAGTGAGGGACTGGACGAGGATGACTTGTCGACGAACTACACCAGTTTCTGCGACCCGAGACTGAACGAGAAGCAGGCGCTTGAGTTGGCGTTCTTGATCGCGGACCATTACAGAAACGAGAGAAGACCAATCGTTTAGACGAGGGTACACATGGTTGAAGGGTGGATGCATACTGGACATACCGTGATCACTAAAAGCAATTCTTTACATGAAATTCAGCAGGTTTATGGTTATTGGTATCTATGCTACTTGAACTCGTACATCGTGGTAAGAAATGCAAACTCACAACACGGCCGGAGTGCTCAGACGGACAAGATGCACATCATCAGCGTCGTCCGTGCCCCGGAAAGGCCTGCCTACTGCAGACACCAAACACCCGTCAACCGAACCCGCACCGACAGTTCAGGGCGCAGAGGACCGAAGAAGTGGGCCAAACGCTGTGCCAGCGCCGCTAAACCGTGGCCCAACAGGGAAGTTTCAAACGGATATCAGCGGGCCAACAGCTGGAGGTGAGTGAGATAAGCCAGTGCGCCCTGCGCTCCTTTCCCCAGTTCCGATAAGGCGAGCGGGGCTTCCCCGCGGCTCCGGCTAGAACCCCCCGTGACCGGTGTAAGTAGTACTGTAGTCCCCTTCCTCCCTTGAGGTGTCCCAATGCAATCCTCACCTTACACACACCATCTCTCGTAGCTCAAGCTCTCCTCGTCTCATCTCACTCGGGAGCTAATACCAACTTCACCTCAACCTAGTGATCACCCACTCATAGCCCACTTACAGCTTACAAGATGGTCTACCCATTGGACTATCTCCAACACCGCCGTGACTGGTCAGCAAAGCTACCCCAACATCCACCCCCTCAAGTGAATGCCGGGGTCACTAACACGACTCCAGCAAATTCAAGCAGTCAGAACGCGCGGATAGGATCAGCCGCCTCACAGCTTACCAGGGCCCCTTCTCATCTCAAGACCGCCAGATCCTAGACAGGCCCATCGGCGAGCTCGTGCAAGATGTTCACAGGACTGTCCTGAAGCCAATTGACATCCTGAAAACCTACGGCAAGGTCGCCCTCAAGGCTCATGAGCGCACAAACTGCCTCACGGAGATCATGATCTCGGACGCCGAGAAGTGGGTTGAGGACGGCTCGATCAACATGAAGGGGCCTCTCGCCGGCATCCCCGTCAGTCTCAAGGACACCATTGTGGTAGGCGGCTACGACACCACCGTCGGCTTCAGCAGCTTCGTGGGCAACAAGACGCCGCTGGACGGCCCTGTGGTGCGGCTGCTGAAAGACGCCGGCGCAGTGCCATACGTCAAGACAAATCTGCCCATCACCCTCCTCAGCTTCGAGTCCACCAACGACGTCTGGGGCCGGTGCAAGAACCCGCACAACACAAAGTACTCCCCCGGAGGCTCGACGGGCGGCGAGAGCGCACTGCTGGCGATGGGCGGACGCATCGGCATCGGCAGCGACGTCGCCGGCAGCGTGCGCGCCCCCGCGCACTTCTCCGGCTGCTACAGCCTCCGCTGCTCGACGGGCCGCTGGCCGAAGCTGGGCTTCTGCACGAGCATGCCCGGCCAGGAGGGCGTGCCCTCGGTATACAGCCCCATGACGCGGACCCTCGACGACCTGCGGTACTTCACCCGCGCCGTCGTCGGCATGGAGCCGTGGAAGTACGACTACAGCGTGCATCCCTTGGCGTGGCGGGACGACGTCGAGAAGGAGTACCTCGAGAAGCCCAGGCTGCGCGTGGGCGTCATGCGCACCGACGGCGTGGTCGATCCCAGCCCGGCGTGCCGCCGCGCCCTCGAGATGGTGGAGGTCGCGCTGCGCAAGGACGGCCACGAGATCGTCGAGATCAGCCCGCCGTCGCCGTACGAGGCGCTCAAGACGGCGGCGCTGGCGCTGAACGCCGACGGGTGCAAGATGTTCGACTCCTTCTTCCGCGCAGGCGAGTGGAACGACCCTGGCGCCGCGCAGATGAAGTTCCTCATGAACCTGCCCGGCCCGCTGCGGTACGCATACTACCTGTGGGTGAAGTACGTCCGCCGAGACGCCATGTGGGCGGACCTGATCCGCGACTGGCGCCCGCAGACGGCGTTTGAGAACTGGAAGCTCGTCGCGCGGAGGGAGGCGCACCGGCTGGACTGGTTCAACTGGTGGAACAAGGTCGAGGTCGACTTCCTCATCACCCCGCCCAATGCGACGCCCGCTGTGCCGCACGACGGGATGAAGGACGCTTGCAGCAGCTGCGGGTACACTTTCCTCTTCAACCTGGTGAGTCTTGCATGGTATTTGGTGACCGCGATTTCCACTAACGGAGTGTGTAGCTCGATTACACTGCCGGTGTCATCCCCGTGACACACGTAGACAAGGACCTGGACCAGCTCCCTGCGGACTTCAACATCAGAAAGCTCAACGGAATCGCCCAGGGCGCGTATAAGCTGTACAACGCCAAGGACATGCACGGTCTGCCCGTTGGAGTTCAGGTCGTCGGCAGGAGGTTGGAGGAGGAGAAGGTTCTCTCCATCATGAAGAGGATCGAGGATGCTCTGGGAGATGACAAGTACAAGCTGCTTGAGATTGACTAGGTCCGGAGAGGAGCTCCCAGTGTAGAGGGATTCTTGCGTCAGCTATGTAGCGATATGGAGTGAAAAGGACATCAACGACACCCCAACGTCTGGCCGATTTCGCGACGGATGTTTAATGCAAAACGCCCCATTGGAGGCCGCTTAATCAAGGCTGAATCGTAATTCCCGGATATAAGATGCCAATTGACTGAGTTTCGGGTAGTCCCTGCCGTGTAAGTGGTTTGGAGATGCGGGGCTGCGGCCGCTGAGGCTGGTCCGAGATCGGACTGCGGGGTGCCATCCACACTGACTTCACCTCGTTTGACGCGCGCTGTTGTAAGTCCTTCAAGACAAGTACTTAAGGAGCTGGGTTCCAAACTTCGAGATTTCATGAGCCAAGCAGCTTCGATTTCATCAGAATTAGACCCAAAAACTCAATCATGGCCGCACAAAAGGAAGACAAGTGGACGACGGAGGTGAGCTCGCTTCTATCCAACCCTACTGTCCAAGTACATGCGATGAACCGCTGACTTACACGTCTCAGGCGTATCAACACTCTGCCTCGTTCGTCCCAAAGCTCGCGACCAAGGTCGTCGGATGGCTCGACGTCCAGAAGGATGATGTCATCCTCGACATTGGCTGCGGTGGTGAGCCCCCTATCTCTTCCAGGCCCACCAAGTCACATACGCTAACAAACTGTAAGACGGCATCCTCGACGTCGAGTTCGGCAAGATCCTGGCCCAAGGCACCGGCTCGCTCCACGGTATCGACGCCTCACCCTCCATGATCACCGCCGCCGAGAAGCTCGTCGCGGACGCCGGCCTCTCCAACTGCAAGTTCGAAGGTAACCCTTCACCCGCCTCCAAGACTCCACCCACCTACTAACACACCCCCAGTCCTCGACGCAACCAAGATCGCAACCTCGTCCACCCCCGCCCTCCAAACCCCAACCTTCACAAAAGCCTTCTCCAACGCCGCGCTGCACTGGATCCTCCGCCCGCCCGGCGCCCAGATCCCCGTCTTCACCGCCGTCCGCGACGCCCTCCTCCCCGGCGCGCCGCTCGTCCTCGAGATGGGCGGCCTTGGCTGCGTCTGCGAGATGCGCACCGCGCTGCTCATGGCCGTCTCGCGGCGCGTGGGCATCGACAAGGCGAAGGAGGTCGATCCCTGGTTCTTCCCCGACGAGGCGTGGCTGACGAATGCCCTTGAGAACGAGGTGGGCGGCTGGAAGGTGGAGAAGATTGAGCGCGAGTGGCGGCCGACGATCGCGGACAGGGGCGGCGTGGAGGGGTGGTGCCGGCTGATGGGCAAGGAGCTGCTGGACGCGGTGGAGGATGAGGAGGAGAGGGAGAAGTGTGTGAGGGAGGTGGCGGATGTTTTGGAGCATGTGTGTGCTGTGCCGGGCGGGGGGCATATGATTAGTTATGTGAGGTTGAGGTGTGTTGCGAGGAAGCTTTAGAGAGTGGCTTGCGGAGATGTTGTGGCGAGACACAAGGCGTCTTTTTGCAGTTTGAATTGAGATCATGAGTGGTCATAGGCCAGAGATGGATCAGGGTATTGTCTTTGTGAAAGCCATTCGAATTAGCCAGGACAAGTCCGTCTCCAAATGGAAGTTGCCTACAAACATTGAACCCGTAAATCCCCTCGATACATTCGGTTTACAATCCATATTGAGGTGTGTGTGTATGTATATGGTTTGCTACTCCGGCTTATTCCTTCTATGGCAAGTGGGACATCGCGGGTCAAATGTACAGCACCAGGTAACAACCATTGAGACATCTCTCAGACATCTCCAGTACCTTCTTTCCCGTCAGGAAGTCTTTTGACACTGACCGAAATCCACAGAGGACAAGGAGTTGCGATTAGTCTTCCTGATTGGAATCACCAGCCACAGAGGGGTGACTCCCTCGAATGTTTGTACATGCAGCGAAGCCAGCGCACATGTGAATGCAATATCTTACGACAATCACTCGCCTATTTATGCAGCTTTGAGATTTTGTCATTACCTGAACAATTGCGCAGAAAATCATTGCGGAGCAGGAAGAATCCAAAGAAATTGAGCCAAGAAATCAGCTTTCCTATTAATGCCAGCAGGAATTGCTGGCTCTATGTATTCGAACAGCATACGCGTGAGGTGCGCCTCTTCACTGTGTCTTCCCTGGTGTCCGTGGTTTCCCTAGTATTATTGCTTTTACCATGCGCCTGAATAGCCAGACATCACTCACTGCGCGGATGGCAATTCTTCAGGCATAGGCGTATATAAGCTTCATCCGCACAGTGAATATCAAGAAAAGTGAAGATCCGTAATCCACAGGTATCTGAACAATCGCGTTCCGCGGCGAAATTTGTCATGTCCAATGAAATCCTCTTGAGATTGTGCTTTTATTACAGGCCATGTAAGCTCGGGAAGTTGACGAAGTCGGCAGACTTCACTGTCCACCAGCAGATCGAGGTCTCGGGAGTATTCAAAGTGTTTGAAGGCAAGTTTTACTTGTCTACATTACGCAATTTTGGTGTGTCAGGGCGATCAAAATTGTCCTCAGATCAGCGTCTGGCGGCTTGGATGTTGTAGGCTGTCCAGCCGAGTTGAATTCAGTTGTTCGTGTTGTAGAAGGGCTTGCTATTCGAGACGTCATCGTCGTTCCCATCAAACAGAAATCTACGCTTTTGCTCATTTTCGGTTTTACTAAAGACGCGCTCAGTTTCTTGTATACCATAGTAATGTGAGTATTGTGAGTACTGTTTCTTCACCCGCAACAAATACCAATAAAGGACGAGGGCGACGAAAATAAGGATAACAATAGAGACGAGGACGGACGACGGCGGACGAGAACAAGGATAACAACGAAGACGAGGACAAGAACGAGAGTTGCAATGATGTGTCAGAGGCAATGATCAGGCCAATTGTTACCAGAAACTTCCACATCCTAGTTGCTGGGCGGTTGTGGTCGTTAAATTGGGTCCTCTGCTGGGTTACTCAGAGGGCCTTCCAGCTGTGCCCGAGAGCCTCCCTAATGTGAAACTCATTGCGGGCAGGAAGATCTTGCAGGTTTTTGACCTCAATAGCAGCACCATAACGCAAGTCATGAGGTCTGAAGCGCTCTTTCAAACCGATGGCGGGGGTAAAACTCTTGAAAGCCCATGAAATTGATCCTCTGGTCGACGGTTTATCTAGTTGTACCTCACACGACGTCGAAAACTGCGGGAATACTGGTCTCAGAGGATGGACCCAATCGACTAATGGTACTGTCTTAGGAAGAGTCTTGGTGCATAGTTCGTCGAAGGTTTTTGCGTCGCCTGCCCCGAATCCAATAGCCATGATAATTAGATAGTTCAATGGGCAGAGGTACGGGACGGTGCAGGTTTTAAGCGTCACGACTCGCTTCCTGTTGTCAGATCAAGACTCTCTGTACAAAAGGGTTAGCTCTAAATTGACTACGGGGAAGTAGGAGAACTTACTTCATCCCTTTTTGGCAGTGGATGGTGACCTGACCGTCGATCGAGATGGTGTCACCAGGCCCTCGGTAAAGAGAGAGCGACAAGTCACGCCACTGGAAGTGTTGAAACGGGGACTCTCTCTTGTCGTGAATGGCGGGAAACCCGGTTGCCAGGAATGCTTCCAAGTAACTGAAGGCGAGGTGACGGCCTTTATCAATGTCACCATCGTCCCTCTCATCGTCCCTCTCATCGTCCCTCTCATCGTCCCTCTCATCGTCCCTCTCATCGTCCCTCTCATCGTCCCTCTCATCGTCCCTCTCATCGTCCCTCTCATCGTCCCTCTCATCGTCCTCCATCATCGTCCTCCGTCATCGTCCTCCCTTGGTGGGCTACATGGATAGAAACAACGGGTTGGAAGTGAATCTCAGCAGGCTTGGAAGTAAAGAGTTGGGGGTTCGCGGCTCGCGCAGAAACCTTCAACAAAGTTGCAGAGGCAACTATGCTACCAATGTATTCACTAGCCAGACTTCGCAATGTGTTGCTTGAAGAGTTTTCCAAATCACAGAAGCCTCGCAGGTGATGAGTAGTAAATTTCCTAGGAAATTTAGCGTTACTATGCAACTTTGAGTGACACACGACGTCTGTCCATGCTGCCTCGTTGCTCATATCGGTGTCATAGTTCAGCAAGAACACGTCGGTCTTTCGGCGAGACGAGGCAGATGGCGCCTTCATGTTCTAGGAGGGTAAACCGACTCGCTGGTTCGAAGTCTTTAAAAAAGCGACCATTTGGAAACATCATCAGAGTTGCAGAGCAAGGAAAAATCCCAAAGGGTTTCCTCCGTCTCTCTAAGCAAGTATGTTTCATTAAATAATAGTGATGATTCTTGGCAATCATACCCGTTTGCATCTCGTTGAGATAACCCGTCGGAGCCATTTATTGAAAGCTTCCTGCGTCCGTTTATATGGCCCACATACTCGCAGAACGATAACAAGGGGAAGGCAGCTTAGCAGCCAAATCTTCATGTTCTCATTACCAAGAGGCATGCGAGGATTTTCCAATTGTCTATATAGGATTAAGGAGAGTACAAGCACTTCCGCTGACGCATATTGCTGACTGACTATCGCTTTTATACCTTAGGTTATCAACCAGGAGACGAACATCCTCCTCGAGAACACACGCCTTCGCGCACGGGCGGGGCGTCGCAGACCACTCAACAGGAGAAGTCATGTCCACCGTCCTCATTCCTATAAATTCTCAACGCAACGCATGTGTTCTTGCAAGAGCCAAAAATAAGCCATTCGTCTCAAGCCAATGTTTGGTCCATAATGCATCACAATGGTTGTAGCCGACAAGATGTACGCCAGCAAGCCTCACTGCAAGCCCGCAGTCCGGAGGTCTTGTTCTCGTCTGTCAGCATTTCTTCTTAGCATGCATCGGATTGAATAAGCAGACGAAAAAGATCTAATGGACTGCTTTTACATACCGTCATGATCATTTTCAACTCGGAATGAGCAGCAAACTATCATGTAGCCACCGGCATGCTCTACTAGACATGAAACCTTGAGAGAACATTCGATATCATTCACAGGTCATACAGTCCCTTACCATCATACGCTTTAAATACACACTAAACCTGTTAGAGGTGTAGGCTGGGCTCTACCAATAAGAGAGAGCCAGCAAAGTGCCACTCTCCTAACACCAAGCTATTTCAGGTATAAAAGACACAAGAAAACATTGATAGTAGAGCAGGCTAATCACCACAAGGAGTTGTGTGACAATGAGCTGCACAGAACACGCGCAAGTCACCAGGTGCTTCCTGAAGCAGTCTGCGCAGAAGGACCTCACCGCTTTCAAAGGCGCCATCTGTATCAGTCTTGCTATTGTTTCTCCCCTTGTCTTTATTGATCATCATTGTCCCGCATACATCATATGACTTCTGATGCGTATTCTGTTGCGCACAGTGAGATGTCTAAAGCTACTCACACGCCGCATCCTATGTCAGAAATTGCATGTCTTGCGTGACTTTCACACCCTACCCTTTATCAGACCCAATCAGACACCAGACGGCAGCAGTACAATGCTTACTGCGTTTCAATGTATGCAACATCATAGAGCAATCTTTTATACTTACTACTGTTTTTGCAATTTCGCACTACTGCGCAGAGGGCCTTCGACTCTTTGACAGATCTCTCTTTACGCAGCCTGAAAGAGACACACAACAGTGGAAGAACAGTAGTAAGCTACTCAATGAACATCTCAGGACAGACTTGGGACTCTAGAGTAGTTAGGAAGACGTTTAAACCCCCTCAAGCACCTAGTGAAAACACCCCTTCACAGACCTCTGCTTTACTGTCCTCCCTCATCACTACTCCGCGCGCACGTATTCACAGCCTCAGACGCAGGGGATAAGCTTGAAATGCATCTAACCTACTTTCAAGACCTGTCTTTCACATTTCCAGCAGTCCCTGAGAAGAATGTTCTTCAATATGACAAGCATTGTGCACACTTACAGCGTCATTCCCTTCTTTATTTCCACTATTAAGAAAACATCTCCTAAAAATAGCAGAGCTACTTAAAGAAATCTAGCATCCTCTTAATGAAGCCCTTTCATGTATAAAAAAAAGCTGCAGAGGAGCGGGGCCATCACTTTACTCCAGCCCCCCCCCCCCCCCCCCCCCAACAACCGCTACAGACATCTCCTCACGCAGAAGCCATCAGACATTATGTACTTAAAGCCAGCATCTTCACACATTGCTTCCTTTCTTTCTAGGCCACAATGCGTCAAACTCATAGTCCTCTGACCAAATTTCCAGATTTGTTGTTGCGACGAACAGCAGATGAAATGGAAATTGGGCTTACAGCGGTCATAAACCTAAGAATAGCGAAGCTGCGGTGTGACAGAACGACCAGCACTTGACCGATCATCTTTCACACTCCACACTCCATCATCTTTGAAAGCGCCCGTCCGGTACAGTTTCAAGCCCCAGATACTCTACTAGAGACAAAAGCCTCAGAGCATGACGTCTAAGGCACCTGCTTCATCACACTTTCTTTGACATCCACTATGGAAGCCAGCTTCAGGAGAATGCATACTTAAAGTTGACATCTTCACACTGATTCCTTTCTTTCTGAACCACAATGTGCTTGCGTCTTGTTCATACCAGAATTGACGGAGCGTGTTTTCTTGGCACCTATGCGCAACGGATAACCAATCACTCTACTTAGCAAACAGTAAGTATGATAGGAGAGGCCCTTCAAACCGCACACGCACTCACCATCCGCGGAATCCTCTATCCGTGAAGTAGTCAGGTCCCCAAATACTCCAAAGACAGAACACTTCCAACCCCAAGCCAAACCCATCGGGCCATCTCACCATGCTAGCATCATCAACCACCCACCTGCCCGCCAACCATCAACGCAGACATTTCAATCATCGAAGAACTCCACAGTCAAATTGCACCACCTTCAAAATCTCCAGAAAAGCGCTCTTATGTACTCACACTGCGTCTCACCGAGTCCTGGGACCTGCCCGGGTACTGAGTCGCCAGTCCCGACAGTCCGGAACGCACCCAAACCGGCCCCACTCTCGGCCCGCCGATGACTTGCATCCCGTTCTTTCTGCCCACCAACCGGCCCGCGTACGGCACAGACGTCTTCCGGAGAAATACCAAACCTTATTCTGGTCGACGGGCATCCCTTACCTAAACTTCCCTACTCCCAGGTTCGATATCGAGACACCCCTACTCATGCTTCAAGATCTCACTCAGATCAACCTCATGAACATCGGATAACACGCACTCTAGATTAGCATGAATCTTCGACTCCTCAAGCTTCACGCACTGCATGCGGGGGCACACCTTTATTTAACAGACGTCATTTGCAAAAGATTAACATCATCAATTGAACGAGGCTCATGCTCGTAAGCATAAGGTGGCAGAAGATCATCACTGCTAGATAAAAGGCCCATCCCAAAATGAACGCCCGGTGCCATGTTTAAGTCCCGCCGTCTATGCCGGTTACCGAACGCAAAAGCAAAATCGAAAAGGCGAGATGTGGTGTATAACCCCTGAACCCCCCGAATCCCAGAATCCCGATATTTTTTGGCACCAAATCCCGTTTATCGAAAAAATAGAGATGGAAAAAATGTTTCTGCCGTTACGCCGATCGAAATGCCAAGATGCAACGTGACCTGTCGCGCGATCCGGTTCTTGTTGTGCTGTTCCATGTGGTATCGTTCTTATGTACAAATCTGTTGCCTGGATGAAGGGAAATCGTTCCCGCTGAAGATGTGAGGTGAATTGAGACCTGAAACCGGAGCGCCTCGCTGTAGTCGTTCGCCCGAGTCGGGCCGTAATGAAGAGGATGCTGGAAATCTCTACGATCTTCGCTTCTTTTCTTCCTTTTCCAGCTTTTCGACGTTCTCTTCCGTGAGGGAGTCACCCGTGTCACCCGCAATTACCGTCTGGAATGACGCGCCGCGTCGCTCAAGCTTCTTCCCGCCAGCAGCATCCATCAATTTGCCGGCCTGGGCTTGCAGAGCGAGCTCGTCCGTCTCCGATCGGCGGATCGGCTTGGAGTTCACACCTGGCGAGTCAAACGGTGACGGTTCGTAGGAATTATTCCTCGTCAGAGGCCTAGGTGTGGCCACGTCGCCCCTGTCCTCCTTTTCAAGATCCCTGTTGTTGTTTTCTGACTCCTTCTTGATGGCATTCAAGGTGTCTGTGGAGTCGCCACCATGGTCGTGTTCAACACCTGGGATATCTGCATTGCTGCAATGTTCAGCAGTGTCTGAGCAGTCAGAAAGAGAACCATCCGAACCCCTCTGCGCCGTCCCTTGCTGTCGTTTAGCCAAACTCCATCTCACCAACATTCTTTCGAGC